TCCTGTGAAATGAATATTGGACAAAAGTGAAATAGAGAGGCCAGTGATTAGGTTTCAGCAGAGCACTTTAACACAGGCTTAAAATAAAACTTTGAAGTGACTTCCAAACTCCACAAGCTCCATCGAGTCAGAATTCTGAACTGGGCTTTACTGTTTTCACTCAAGTCTTTGTTAAGATACTGGGGAAAAATATTCCTTGATTTTAACCCACAGTGGAAACAATCTCTTTTGAACATTAATTATGAGGTATTAGCAACCAAGACTGTAAAGAATTTATCCTGTTTCTTGCTAAAAAGTCTCTGGTTTTACCACTAAAGAACAGATCCTCAAAAGAAACAAAGCACAGCACATATCATAAGGCAAACCACATTTATTAAAAATTGCCTCTACCACGTGTTCCTCTACTATTTCTTCTACTCTTCTCTCCATTTCCTCAAATTGAGAATATTTAGAAATATTTTCAGAGTCAGGCTTCCACAAAACCTTTGAATAATCAGGAAAATACTAATGAGTTTTCAAGAATTGGCCTTCTAAGGCTCAATCTATAAAGCAACATGATGGAGTGGTTTGCTTTAAGTATAGATGTTCCACTAGGAGGAAGATCATGTTTTGCAATCCTGTAAATGAGGCATAAGGCCCATTGTGAGAACACAAGTGTTCCTCTTTACTCAAAAAAAGGATTGCAACAAGGTGGATAGAATAAAACCCAGAATGAACGTGTGGAAATTCATTTAGAGTTATGAAATTGTAACTAAATACATCCTCTCGTAGCTCACAAAGCCAAATTGTCACTGCAGCAGTTAATTTTTAATGCTGAAATTACTATCTGCTTTGTGACAGGTCACATGGTCACTGGCAATACTGAAATATTTAACAAGAAACATGGATACTATCCACGAATTTGTTTTGTACAAACTCTCCCAGATAATCCCTAGGTCTTTGTGTTGTTTTTAAGGCCAAAGAATTTACAATCATTAAGCCATGTAAAACACTTCAGACATTCTCTTCAAGGTAAAAGTTTTTAATAGAATTCTTAAGCACTTAAAAGTCTATAATTAATTATGTTTTCTGCCATTTTAGGAATGCCAAAAGATTTGTGCAACTACAGCAACTATAAAATGCTCATTCCATGAGACACAGAATCTTTCTAAATTCAGTGCTAACTTTGTCAAACCTATTTCATCTATCTCAAATCAGGGACAGAACAGTTACTGTGTCCAGTTATTCTGTAAACTCAGAAATCTGAATTGTTCATAGATCCCAGACCACAGAAATAGGAAAAAAAAAAAGGCCTTTTAAGAAAGAACACCTTTAGTTAAACAGATGCTGTGCCTTGATCTTAGAGGAAACACCAAATCACTCTTGGCTACATAAGAAAAAGGAATTCAGCAGCTGCTCTCCAAAGAGTTAATAGGGAAGGTAATATCAAGTATGAAACATGAGGCCTAAAGTTTTCCTGTTCTATACATCTCTAAATTTTTCCACATCTTTGGTATTCACACCTAGAGCAGACCGGACAAAGAATATTGAAGTTACCACTGAATTAAAAAAAAAAATAGAATAAAAATTAAATTAATCTGAAACATCACTTAGTGACATTTGATGCCTGATAAATTCCAGAGCTTGGTGCTATGGACCTGAAGGCAGGTGAGACCAGCTGTAGCATCTATAAACAGCAAAGAAACTTCCTGACTTGATCAGCAATAAACCCATGGGCTTCAAAGCTGGCCAAGGGCAAAACTCCACCGCCTTTATTTATTTATTTGGAGGTACAGTTCAGCACCTTAAGTGGCAATTCCCAAAGCTTGAGTTATGAGGCCAAGGGGCAATTTTCTGCAGAGGTTATTTTCCCCATGCAGGTACAACTGATCTCTGGGTTCTGGATGTTACCCCAATAAAAACAGCACAAAGAATATCCAGCCACTTCCTGCCTTCTGAGCTGCAATCCCAAATCCTGCTGTGTGACAAACACAGCAGGGACACCCACCCTGGGCCTCAGAGGGCTCTCAGGGCTGCTTTAGGTTGTGAAGATTGCTAATGAAGAAGGAGCGCACCGGACAACCACTGGGACTTTTATCCTGTAATTTGCTTAAACCCAAATGCTGGCAATCAAATGCTGCTGTTTGATAACATCCAGCAGGAATGAGCCTCCAGTCCTCCTTCTGACCTCCCTTTCTGTGGTTTCCCAGCAAAGCAACACAAGGCAGTGGCAAAACACACATTCAAATTATTTTCATTAGGCAAATTGTTTGTATTCTTGATTAGCCATGGCAGCTGAAATGATTTTTGATACAATTTTCGACCACACACTGAAGTGAAGGACACTTCTCTTGAAAGAAGCATACTTATCTGCTTTTAAAAACATGGAATGGCTTTTTGTATCTTTAGTTTCTAATGTGTGCCTAATCAGTATAAGTTGGGAATATTTTTGGTGCCCATTTGGGTAAAATGTTAGAAAATGAGCAATTGCTGTAGTCTCTGAAGCTATTCAGTGACATGCTAGAGCAGCTCTCCAGCTGCAAAAGAAGGTGTATGGACCCCAAAAATAAACAGATGTGGAATTATTCACTCACAAAAGAAAATCCCTCTCCGTTTACAGCTGTTATTTAACCTGTAACAGCTCAAAAAAATAAAATCTCAAAGGAATTGTTTCACCATCCACTGTTTGCTGCATACATTTCACATACAATGTTGGTTGCAATTCAAATACTGCTACTGATATTAAGCAATCTTTTATGTAACTTTTCAGTTGAATACAACAATTAAAATACACTCCAGTTATTAGCCTACACTTTAGGCAGAATGCTTAGAAGAGACAGTGGAGAATGTGCCACATCTGAGTGGGTGTTTTTTTTTATGATACTGCAGCATTTCATAGAATAATGATCATCAGACTGCCTTTGAGGCTCCCAGTGTGAATGGATTCACTGAGATGCAGAAATCTCATTCTTTAGAACTCACTACCTCAGCTATCCTGGCGTATGACACATATTAAGTGCCATGTTTCATAGCTCTGGGCTGGAATGAAGGAAATTTCAATGCGGGACACAACTATGAAATACATCTTTCATTACATTTAATGAGCTGAATTTTATCAGTTTTCTTCCACAGAAATCATATGTATGCTTGCAAATTTTATTTGCAGTTAAAAATAATTCAAGAAAGGTCTTCAAATACATAAGATTACTATCCATTTTCAATTAACACTCACAGCAGCTGTGCACTACCCTCCCTCGATGCAGAACAATGCAGAATATTTTAAAACCAGTTATCTCTCCATGCTGCACTAGAGATACTCCAAACAACACCTTCCCTGTTTTCTTGGTTCTGCATCCAGACTGCTTAATTGCTTTGTCAAATGAATACTACTCTTGATACAGGTCCAATTTTACTGTGAACAACACTGAAAATCTGGCTTTTATGCACTAAACTCATCTCTTAGCTATCATAAAGATTAGAAAAATAATTAAAATTTCTGCTGAGGCAAGCATTCGGTAAGAGCTGGCCTAAGGATATCTAAATCCAAAATCCAACACTGTACATGCAAATTAAACATTGCCTACACCTTTAGCTTTCAAAACTGGGACCAAATTCTCATTCCTTTCTCTCATGTGGGCCCAAACAGGATTTTCCTGCACTCTGTGAAGAATGCCAGGGAGCAAGCAGATGACAAGCTCAAACAAAAAAAACAAACTGGGGTTACAGCCAGCACTGGCAGCCCCAGCAGATCATAAACACCAAACCAGGGGCCACAGGCAAGGTTCCATGAAAGTCATATGCACTGACAAAGCCAGAAGGAAAACCATTAATCCAGGAAAATTTCTGGAGCTGGGGAAGCCACAGGTAGGTTTTACTCATGAGGATCCCACCAGTCCCTGGCAGTGGCAGGTTTGGAGAAGAGGAATCTTGTGTTTCTCTTCCTTTACACCCAGTGAGTCTCTTCTTTTGAGGTCCGTCTTAGGAACTGCTCCTCACCTGGAAAACCTCAGCCTTTTCCGTGCAGTCAGATGATTATTCCCCATCTATCCCAAGAGGAATGTCTCCCCTTTACAATCAAAGGCTTTCCTGCATTTCCTGCATCCTAAGACTGTAGGTCCTAGGACACAGAAATAACTTCTGCACCTAAAGTAGCTTTAATCCAAACTGCTAATGGATCATTTAATGCTAATATTATTCCCCATGTCAACCAGTGTTTGAACTAAGATGATACTTGGTCTCTCATTTAATGAATGATTAATTTTACTCATAGCTCTTGGGAAAATTGAAATAATACTAACCAGGTTTTCTTCTTTTATTCGTGAGGATCCCACCAGTCCCTGGCAGTGGCAGGCTTGGGGAAGGAGAATCTTGTGTTTCTCTTCCTTTACACCCAGTGAGTCTCTTCTTTTCAGGTCTATCTCTTCACCTGGTAAATCTCAGGTTTTTCCAGTGTGGCCAGAGGTTTATTCCCCATCTATCCCAAGAGGAATGTCTCCCCTTCAGAATCAAAGGCTTTCCTGCATTTACCCCCCCTGCTCTGGACATTTGTAATACTGATAACCAAGGCAATGCAGCAAGGAAAAGGAAATGAGGATCATCCTGTCTGGATCTGTCCCTTCAACAGACAATGCCACTCTATTCTAAACTGACAGTTTACAAGTTAGAAGTTTTGTAAATAGTTATAAATTTTTTATCTCCAGCAAGAAGATAAAGCAAACAAAATATATATTAAAAAAAAAAAACAACCACAGAAAAGGCAACTTTTTTGTACTTCATTTTTACTATCTCTTCTCTCCCCAAAGGACAAAATAAGGTCTTTTATCAACTTCTTCTACTCCTATATCTGCATTGCTTTAGAAATCTGTACATAAAACAGTGATATCCTCAGCTGTTATTGCTCACCACCCTCTGCAGTTCTCTAAGTATGCAGATATAATTTTTTATGGAGATTATTTAAGCATGGAAATACTTGACTCAACCCTGTTTGCAGGCAAAATGGAAAAGCTCAAATAAAAACTCACCAGGTTCTCCTCAAACCACTCCCGCAGACACAGTGCTGTGGCCCCTGGGATTTGGTTCCTCAGAGCTTCTTTCTCCTGAGGGTCCTCCAGCATCTCCAGGGCCATCTTCAGATCTTCCAGGAGGTGCAAAATTTGAAATGTGCCCAGGTACACTGATGGAGCAGGTGACACAATATCATAGCCACCATTAGCATACTCTGTGGCTGACTTTGTGCCTAAAGAAAAACAAAGTGAGGAGAGACAATAATGTCATATAATTTCTTTGGAGGTGGCAAATTAATTTTATACCAACCTTTGTAGGTACTGCACAGTACAATATATGGACTTGAGACTGACAAGTTTCACTCCAGGCTGAAAACCTTCATTTCAGGCTTAGAAATACCTGAATTAGTCTCTAGAGAAATCATGAAATCTGGAGAACCAAATGAAAGAGGTTTGTACATGCATATCAAAAAAGATTTTTGACCTAGATCACGTTTGCAATGTCCAAATTATAAATCCCAAAGCATATCCCAAATCACCTGTAGTTTTCCACAGTTGCCATGAGATGTCACTAACTTCTCAGCTACACCACTGAAAGTCCCCACACTGCACACTGCAAAGTAATGAATGACTGATGCAGCTCTCTGACAAGAAACTGGGATCTAAATAGATCATGTTACCAGATCTAGAAAAATATAAATGACCATGAGCAGGTTTAGAACTCTCCTACAGAGAACAACACCCAAAAAGGTAGCAATAAAAATAGCAAATGAAACTTTTCTAGCCTTATAAATTACAAAAAGCTCTTTAAATTGCATTGTCTCTCTCCTTCCAGTCCTCCAACATCAATATTTTTCTCAAAAATAGTAGGCACAAAAAACCATAATTCAATTATGGAAGTATTATAAATTTTACAAATTCTAATATCTCCAAAACTTATTTTCTTAGTACCCTGTGTGTTTCAATGAGATGCACAGTAAAATAAATTCTCTTTTCTCAGTCCTGAATTTCATTTAATTTAATTTCCTTAATTTAATTTAATATGCCTCTGTATCTTTAAGAAGCAGTCAGGTAGAAAATTTCTATTTGCTCTACTTTTAAAACTTTTTATTTACAATTCATTGCCTCATGTATATAATAGATTGTACACATATCTTCATTCATGTTCTCTCTGGCATTAAAAAAAAAAATCACAATTTCCCTTCTTATTTGATATAATGGGAGATTTTTTTTAGGTTTTTGATCATTCACATTGTACTGGCTTCACATAGCATTTAGTATTCATTAGAAGACTACATAATTGATGCACACAAAGGGATTTTAATAATCTCCTTGCTGTTATTCTTTTTACTCCTATGTTCAACATAGTTTATGTGTTAGTAATGAAGGGAACAAAAAAATCTTTGACAATGACCTTCTAAATTTATTTTTCTCCTGAGCAGATGTATCTAATGTGATGCAAAAATGTATAAGGAATTCAGATTTTCTTCTTGAATGCACAGTACCTCACATTATTCAGTGTTAGTTTGCCTGCTGTGGTCATTTATCTACCATGATCTGGGCACTGCAAACTGTGTTTGAACCCAGTGTTTCATTTTACCTGCAGCCTGATACACATCTCATGAGTTCACCAACACTGGAGGTCCTAGGACACAGAAACAACTAAAGTAGCTTTTAATCAAACTGCTAATTGATCATTTAATGCTAATATTATTCTCCATGTCAACCAGTTTTTGAACAAAGACAATACTTGGTCTATCATTTAATGGATGATTAATTTTACTCACAGCTTTTTGGGAAAATTAAAATAATATTAACCAGGTTTTCTTCAAAAACTCTTTCAATCACCCAAAGTAGTCTGTCATGTCTTTGCAAAAAATTGTGTGGCTTGAATTCCACCATACAATCCATGTGGGGTTTTTTTTTGACAATTTTAAATAATGAAAATCCCTTCCTGGAAATTTTTCAAGGCTCTGTAGCAGGATTTTTCTTTTTTATTTTGGTAAAGCAACAGTCATTTTCACTACTGGAGCATTTCATATTACCTTAATCTCTTTTCTGACTCAGAATATTCTGTTTGATCCTGTTGACCTCTGCTGCTTATGAGTTTATTTTAATACCTCAAGTGCAAGATCTCATCTTAATTTCTGGCCAAGACCATGTGCAAGATAAAGTTTCTTCAATATCCGGTGCTCCAGGGATGCCACAGGAGACAACCTCACCCTGTAAACCAGCCTTGGCTTCCTGAATTACTTCCTTTTCAGGGGAGGATCAACTGTCTGCTCTGCAGGACTTGTGTTCTCTAACCCCTAAATGATATTTTCTTACGTATTTCTATGCTCTCAGCTACTCAGGCCAGCTTGTTTCTGTACCTACCTAATGCAGATCAATATTAAACTATTAAACTAAAAATAGCAGATTTCCAAATTGAGTAAGGGGCCATTTGGATCATATAACCAGTGCTATATTTTCATTCAGCCAGAGAGGTTTGTTCCATTCTGAGAGATGCACACACAAACTGATAACATGACCTTGACTTCTTAAGTAGCATTGATTCCTTGGTTATTGTGCCATTTCTCACTCTTTTTGGGAAACTCCATGCCAATATTTCCTTTTCACTTAGCAAGCACTTTTCACCCTAGAAAATCAGACAGGATTCAAAGCTATTTCAAAATCAGCTGTGGTGGCTACCTTCCAATGAATTGGCAATTCAGAATATTTATGGAATGGGAGAAATTGAAAGGAGCATTCTGCTATAGATTTTTTCAAGATAGTTTTATGAATATTTTTTATTTATAGACAAGAGAAAAAACCAAAACTCCACCCAATCCAAACAAAACCACATAAACTTACAGACCCACAACAAATACTTCAGGTTAAAAAAAAAAAAAGCCAAGCTAAATACAATTTATTACAGCTGTTCAGGAGTTCAGTTGATTGTACTAGGTAGATTATATAGTCAAATAAACACCTCCATCAAATGTACCACTGTGACTTCCTCCAGGACATTATTGGTAACACCTTTGTTCACCAGCCCAAGTGACTCACTGTGTATCACCTCTTGCCTCAATCCTTGCTTTATCATAGCTACAACACTCCTGGCAGCATCTGCTTTCCACAGCAAACAATCCCAGGTGATGCAGGAAAATTCAGTTGATATTATATAATGTCAGTAATATTATATTAATTATATTATAATAATTACATATTAACTTTATGTATTATGTGATATTAGTGATATTAATTATATTATGTTAATTATATTATAATTGTATAATGTCAGTGATACTCACACATTTCATCGTGCCTTCATTTGATTTGCCTCTACCAAAATACCAGGGAAAACAACACGTACACACAGGGACTGCCATGTTTAAGAAACTGATTTTATAAAGGATAAAATTTCTAAAGTGCTGGAGCACAGGCAGAGCCAGCCAGGAATTCTGTGATTTCCTGAGACTGGGCATGCTCCATAGGCATCCTTGAGCTATCCAAGCTCTTCAACTGACAGTTCAGACTGGAAGAATTCTCTTCATCCTCACATTTTGCAAAATGCTGAATTACTTTAAAACTGGTTTGCTATGGACTGCTAACATGGTCCCTTTTATTCTCCTAGCTACAATGGAAAATGGAGAACTCCTTTGAATGCAACAAATAATGCACTTTTGGTACTAGGGACAGAAATGCAAAAATACAGAGCCCAACTCAGCATTTTAATTCAGAAAACTTCCTGATTTACTGGTAAAATTCAAATAAATCACAGGCTTGCTTGTCTTATTTGCTTTCCATGTAGTTTCATATTAAGTAGGATTGCACTGCTCACCAGAAGAACACACCCTGGAAAACAGAAGTGTGTAGGAGTAAATAATTGTAGGAGTAAATAATTTCTTTGCCTTGCTTTAAACCTTGGCATCATTGTACTGCAAAGTACATGAAGTTTTAGCACCAGACAGTAAGAATTTGGATATTATTGCAGATTAATGAAAATAAAAAGAAAAAGAGATGCCACACAACATTATTTGTTACCAGCATTTTCCACCATTAACAGCTGTCTATATCTGCGTAGCTTTATCATAAATAACTGAAGAGGGGAAGAATGCAGTTCAAACATCAGAATTTTATCAATACTCAGGAAAAATTATTAAAGTTTTGAACTCTTGCAAAAGGACTGATTTTTTTCTCGAGCAAGTCACAGTCTTCTTGTACCTCACTTCCTTTTCCAGGGGTAAACAGGACACAAGGGAATCTTTTGTCATGAAGTTTATATAATACCCAACACCGTGGTTTCCTAGTCTACTCCTGGAACACAATTATTCGTCATGAATGTTCACTTTAGAAGAGCAGGAAAAAAAAGAAAGAAAGGGAGAAAAAGTGTTGAAACTCAGACGTTCCAAGTAGCTCCCTCCTGGCCTCCCCAAACAGTCAGTGAGTGAAGGAGGTTAAAGGCAGCTGCACATTATATGTAGGCAGAAAGAATAAAATAAGTAATGAAACAAGCAAAACAACTTTTAAGTTACTCATTTCTCCCACCCTGACCGTGCAAGCACATTTTTTCTCTCAGAGTTCCTTGCAATTAGCAGAATGGCTTCAAAGAAACATTCCTTTTGGGCAAATACATAACCTATTCAGAAAACAGCACTGCCAGTAGCTTCCAAAAATAAATTACCAGGCACAAGTAAAGACAGAGGTAAAAGCCCTGCCAGATTGAAAACCCCTCTCCTCAGCCCATGTTGTGTGCATTCATCCTTCACACAGCTTCCACCTCTCCTAGCAGTAGATGTTGTGTCTGATCTCTCACTTTCCCTTGCATCTTAACTTCTGATCCCCTGCATTCATCCTTTTCATCTCAATTTTTTCATTCTCAAACTGGCTGAGCTGGAAAAAAAAATTCCAGGTAATGTACAATTCAACCATCAGTGGTTAAAAATAGATTTTCCTGAGAATGCTGGCTCCTTTAGATCACAAATCAGCAAAAAACAACAAAAGCCCCCCAGCAAACACCAAAACCTACATCTTTGCTGGATAAGGATGACTTTCTATAAAGCTGAAAATAATAATGAGTAACAATATTGACATCTGACCAAAGTGGTTAGAATAAAGTTATAAACATACCTTTCCTCTGGCCTTTCAGTCAATCATTACACTGCTAGAGAACATATTTTTACCTGAATTTTTACTCAGTGAGCATCTAGGTTGTCCAAGTTCTTCCTCCCTCCTTCAAGATTACACAGTG